TGGAAGCGAGGGTGGTCAAAAGCGAGGTAGGTTTGTTTTCCTCCGATAGAAGGAGGCTGCTGCTCCTTAGGAGAGGCGCGGGCCTTGCATCTGCGGACACGGCCCGCGGCTTCTCTAAGAAGCAGGGCTGCTTCTAAGCAGCCGTCCCCGCTCCCCCCCAAGCCCCTGTGCGCGTGGCCGACCGCTGCCGCGCGGCGGGGAGGAGGGCGTCGGGGAGGTCCGCCACTTGCCATCGCTCGGACGTCCACTCCACGTGCACATGTTCGATTTCGTGTGCGTTTCCTTCACAAGATGATCCAAGATCCTCCTCGACAGTGCGAGGCGGGGATCTATCCATATCCACCGCCTGGGAACCGACGTCCTGGTGCCCTGGCGGGCGGTGGGTATGGATATATGTTGGCCCCTGGGGGCCCGAATATGTCCATATCCACCGCCTGTCGAGGCCCCCGAAGATTGATCCTTCAGGCGGTGGTCATGTATAAAATCCCGCCTTGGAGATAGTCGTGGCCGAGAAAAAACACGTCCAGTGGCGATGCCAAGGCCAGTGGCAAGGGGGCCACGCACCTGGCGGGCGCGGCCCTTGCGCTGCAGACACCCGCGCGGGAGCTCGAGGGCGGCGCGCGGACGACCCCCGCGGCGAGTCCGCCGCCGGTGATCCGCTGGGCGCACGGAGCGAGAGCGCCGCTGCTGGGCAGCGGGCCTTCTGCACCTCCCGCTCCTTCCACTCCAGCTCCTGCTGCTGCTGCTCTTCCTCGTCATCCTCCGTTCCCCTCCTCCGCCTCCTCCTCCTCCCTCCTCCTCCTCCCTCCTCCTCCTCCCTCCTCCTCCTCCTCCTCCTCCTCCTCCTCCTCCTCCTCCTCCTCCTCCTCCACCTCCTCCTCCTCCTCCTCCTCCTCCCTCCCTCGCCTCCTCCTCCTCTCCTCCTCCTCCTCCTCTCCTGCCGTCCGCCTCCTCCCCCCTTTCCCTCCCTCCTCCTCCTCCTCTTCCTCCTCCCCCTCCCCCTCCGCCACCTCCTCCTCCTTTCTCCTCCTCCTCCTCCTCCTCCTTTCTCTTTCTCCTCCTCCTCCTCCGCCTTCCCCCGACGTGAGGATCCGGCAGGACCGACGGGGCCAATGGGAGAGGGCAGCGACGCAGCCGCCCCAGGGGCCCGCAGCGCCGCGGGAGCCCGGAGCCGCCAGGGGGCATCGGTTGGCGGGTGGCCGAGGCTCCTCGCAGCGATCAGGGATCCCTGAGAGCCTGGTGACTCAACTTTTTCGAGCCGGGCGTTTTCGCTCCATTTCGGGCCCGGGGACCCTCACAAATCAATCCGGCTCGAAAAGTGACGCAGAAAGATGGAGTCCGGGGGTCTGGTCGTGATTTTTTGCGATGCTACAAATTGTTTTGCAACGTCGGATCTCAGGGGAGGAAAAGCCACCCGGACCCGATGATCGGCGTTTGCTAAAAAGGCCCCGGGCATTATGATCAAACAGCCCTGCCCTGTTCGTGGGAAAACGAAGAATGACATAGAAATAAAAACTCAGGGGTCCGCGCGGATTTCTCGGATCGGCGCTGGGGACCCCTGGCGGTGCCTCCGGCGCCGCCCCTGGCGCGCGGAGCGCGCCAGGGAGGGGGGTCCAGCGCGGAACCAAGACATCCACGCGGACCTCCGAGTTTCTTGTTTATGTAATGTTTCGTTCCCCTAGTTCGATTCCTTCTTTGGGGCGTTTACTGAACGGTTTTGCGTGTCGGGTGGTTGTGATGAGGGTGGATGTTCTGCTCCTCTCTACAGTGGAGGCCAGTCCACAGCAAACCTTCCACAAGAGACCCAACCCTGAGACCCCAGGACGCCCATCGATTCTTGGTGCGGGAACGTCGCGCTTTCCATGGCAAAACCATCGAAACCCAAGAAACCCAGGACACCCTGGATGTTGGCAGTACTCATCTTGGACATTTTTTGGAAGGGGTGCCGCAATGCCGAGGCGCACCGGATATAGATAAAACTCGAGCCTCTTGGGCCCAGCTTTCCGTCCATACCCAGTGCGCCTCCTGGTGTCTGGGGAAGAGGGCCCCCAAGACTCCAAGACGAGCTGGGTGTGGATACGTAGTTGTAGCTATTGCCCTCACTGGGAGGCAGGCAGAGGGCTTCGTGGCGTGGGCCTCCGCTCTCAGCGAGGCGGTCGCCACGGAGCCGCGGGCCGCGCGGCACAGCCCTCCGACGCGCCGCATCTGGTGCCCCGGGGGGCGCACCCGCGGCGCCCGGGTGCGGCGGCGCCGTGCTCGGCGCACTCGCGGGAGCGGGCTCGCGCCGGGCGGGCCCGAGGGGCCAGGCTTAGGTCGGGCGTGTCACCCGACAGGCGGATCTTGGAGGAAACATGCAAAATATGGTGAGACAAACAACTGCTCGGAAGTAGCCAAACAAAATGATCCAAAGATCGTCCCCAAACTATTTTTTGACCAGTTTCGACTACTCATCCTGTAGAGGGACGTGCCCGACTTCAGTCCAGGCGGGAGAAGCCGGGTGGTTGACAACCCCGTCGAGCCAAGTGGCGCAACTGCGCAACTGTACGACACGAACGCACCAGAGAGGCGCGGCGAGATAGCAACAATTGATGATCCTTCAAACGTGTGTTAGCGCCAACGTGTGTTTGCCCACTGAGGCCCTTCGATACGACGAAGGCGACGTGATGATCGGCTGGTTGGGCTGAACTGAGTAGACACACATTGGGCTAACACACGTCCCGAGGATCATCGAACCAACAGCCAGAGAGGAGTCAATCTCATGTGCCTGGGGCCTCCCTGCTCTCTCCCTGCTCGTGTCTCGGGGGGAACAAACGGGGGGATAGCAAAAGGGGGGGTAGAGAATCAGCTCACGTAGCTGCTTATCCCAGCGCCTCCCGGCGCTGGGAGGCGCCCATGTATCGAGGAATGGGGGCCTGGCGGCGGGGCCCGAACCAGCTCCATGCAGCAGATCTCGTACCCCCCCCCTTTCCCTGTTCCCCCCTTTCGTTCGGCCCGAGTGTCCTCCGCCTCCTCTCCCCGCCTCCTCTCCCTGCTGGGCCCCCGGCCCTGCGGCTCCTGGCAGAACGCCCGCGCCAGGGCGACGTCGACCTGGCCGGCAGCTCCCCATTGAGGGCAGGGAGAGCCCAGAATCGAATCGATCAGTCGGATCGGCGATCGAAATGAATCGGATCGGCGGAAATCGGCGGCCGAGTCGGGAAACGTCGGATCGGCGGAAGTCGGCAGGCCAGTACGCCTCCATTGAGACATCGGAGCCCAGATCGGAACCCCAGATCGACTCGGATCGGGATCGGAAGCCATGGAAATCGAATCGAATCGAGGAACCGAAACGAGCCTCGATCGGTTGGTCGAGGACCTCGGGTGCCTCGGTCAGCGGAGCTCTGCCGAGGTGCAGGGCAGCCTGAGGATCGGCCGACCTTGAGAATCTTGAAGGGGAGGAGAAGGAGGCTTCTCCCAACGAGTTGCCTTGATCGAGGGAGGGATGACAACACGCCCCCACCCTGGGTTACAAGAGCTTGGTCTGTAAACCTCTGGGGAGCTCCCAAAGGCCAGAGAGCCGCTGGGACGTCGCGCGACACGCACGAAGCGCAGCGTTTACCCTGTCGGCCCACAGGAGGCTCAGCGCACAGCGCCTCGCAAACCAGGGCAGAGGCGTTTTTACAAGCCCTTGACTTGAGTCGCTGAGGGGGAACGGGGTACGGCAGGTTCGTGTCGTGCCGACTTCGGCGCTGCTTTCCGACACCGCGGGGGTCGTTCAACCTCGAACGTTCGGCCGTTCCCGACACGTCCAAATCGTTCCACGTCGAACGATTCTGGGTCGCCCACGGCGTTCAACGTTGAACGCCGCTGGCGAGGAGGAGGAGGAGGAGGAGGAGGAGGAGGAGGAGGAGGAGGAGGAGGCACGGCGTTCAGCGTTGAACGCCGCTGGCGGGGTCGCCACCGGTCGGCACGACACGAACCTGCCGCGGTCGAGTCGTTGCCTCGGCCTCGGCCCGCGCCGCCGAGGCCCTCGACCGAGGGCGCTCGAGGCCTGGCGGCGCTTCCCCCAGGGGGGGGGGGCCGGTGTGGTCCGTGCGATCTGAAGGGGCCCACGAGCACACAGAGAATAGAGGAAAAAGAATTATGCACATACACCGATTCTGGCCAGACCCATCCTGAGCCCAGGATCGGTGCATATGCCCTCCTACCTTGGCCAGGAAGGCATATGCACCGATCCTGGGTCAAGGATGGACGTTGTCAGGATCGGTGCATGTGCATAATCCTCTTCGCCCGAGAGAAGTGGGCACAGAATCCCAGGATTCCCCACACGTTTCCATATCCTCTGGGCTTTCGCCTCCCCCCCACACTGCTCCCATTTTCCCACACTTCTTCCTGGGAATCGACGATGAAGTGTGCCTGTGTGGGTTGTTCGCCATCTGCAGGGCGCTGGCCAGGACGACCATGGGATCGCAGCGAGATGCATCGGAAATCTGTGAGACCTGGCAGGCTTGCAAGACGTATCGAGCGCTGCGGCCAGTTCGGAGCGCTTTGGATATGGAGTGCTCTGGAACGATTTCTCATTGCCTTGCCCTGACATCCGACGTCGTTGTTTCAAACAACGCGGCTCCACAAAGGTCTGGCCCCCTTCCCAAGGACCCGCGTTGCATCCCGCATCGTTGTCCAGCTTCTCGTCCCCGACACCGGGTTCTCATCCCTTTCCGCCTGTGGGCCCAGAAAGGGCATCCTACTGCCTGCGCCATCGCAGAAGTTCTTCCGAAAGCTCTGGTCAGGGACATGGGTCCAGGAGCGAAAAACAAAGGCCCTCCCTCCCTCCCGCCCGTTCCCCACTCCCTAGGGCGCGCGGGGGCTGAGCAGGGGGAGCATTGGCAGTGCGCACAGCCATCCACCCAGCAACATCATGCTCATCCCCTCCTTAAACCATACTGCTGCACGGGATGCGTGTAGCCTCGTCGTCGAGATGGATGGACAAGATAACCTGCACGCGGTCCGGCTTCGAGACAATCCTGCAACGGATACGCGCCGGGCGTGGCCAGGATGGGGGAGTGGAGGACGACAAGGACAAGAGGAGCTGAACAGGGGGTGGGGAGGAAACGAGGGGAAGGGGTGATGATGGGGAATACTACATCACATTGCATTACACCCAGTTCTCCTCCGACGCGCTGATGAGTCACAGTCGGCCATAACGAAACCTACCAGGATCTTTGGATTTACTATTTGCCAGGTTGGTGCGAGCATGAAACAGGCAGGAGTCGACGGGCTGCACCTAATGTACGCGCACGACAGAATGCTGATGCGTCAGCATCAGCTTCAGGATCCGCCCCTCCTCACGGCCCGAGGCCGACTGCATCAATACTGTTTGGGGCGGCGTCGAGAAACGACTCCGATAAAAATGTAAATGCGACTACACACAATTGGTCAGTGGCCTCCTTGGTCGTTTTGTGGCCGGTGGAAGGCGATGACAATGACTCATGTCAGCTCGTTCTGGAAGTGGCCTGGGTGTTCTTTGGACGCCCTCAGGGAGGGTCTCAGGTTTGAATGGGCGTCGATGGGCCTTGGCATTCACGGCGCCGGCTGGCCTACAGCTGGCCGCTGGCGATGGGGCGAGCATGGAAGACGATGACGAAGTAGGAGGTGGAGCAACAGATGCAGAATAGGAAACGAATGAGGACGAGCAGCAGCTGACTCATGTACGCTCGTTTTGGAGGTGGCCTGGGTAATGTCTGGACGCCTTTAGGGATGGTCTCAAGCTTGATGGGTGCTCGAATAGGCCTTGGCGCTCACGGCGCTGACGGTCGGTGTTTTAAGAACAGTGGTCATAAAACATAAGCAGTGTTCGTATAATTCATACGATTGTCTTAATACAGAAACCCGATTTGTTTAAAACAATACAGTCCCAGCCAGACATGTTCTGAAAACATTTCGCGGAAACCACAAAAAGGCACTTAGAACATTGTTCGATAGGCCTATAGGCACGCCAGGACGCTTCGCCACTCCTTGACGACTGGCCTGCAGCTCGCCAGAGCGAGTAGACCTGAACTCTCTCGGGGGATAAAGCTGCGGCCGTCCAATGAAGCGGGAACGCGGACATGACCGCGAGAGGGGGCGTGGTCATGCCGACGGGGCCGTCGTGCCCCCTATGGCGGCACAGCCCTGACCTGGATCGTGAAACTGGGGCGTCTTGGGTGCCCGTCGGGGCCTCGCGGCGTGTCTGTTCTGGGAACGCCGTGCACGACGTAGACGCGAGACCTCCCATACGATTGTGGGGGCCATTCGGGGAGCTTTCTGGAAGAGACCGGTGCGGGAGTTCCGACTAACCCCTCCTGGATTCTTCGTGAGGATTTTTTTGTTTAAAGGCTTTTAGAAGGTTTTCCCGGGGGGGGGGCGAGGAAGGTTTTTGGATGGTTTGTCCCAAAACCCTCCCAACAACCTTCCAAACACCATTCCAAAAACCTTTCAAAAACATTCCCAAATACCTTCCCCAACAAAACCTTCCAAAAACCTTCCCGCAACAACTTCCAACATGTAGCGACAACGCCCAATACATCCCAAAAACCCTCCGAAGAACTCCAAAACAAACCTTTCAAAAAACCTTCCAAAACCTTCCAAACAAACCATCCCAAAACCTTCCAAAAACCTTCCGCAAACACCTTCCACACATCTTCCAAACAAAACCTTCCAACTACCTCCCACACAACTTCCAACATTTAGCGAAACCGCCAAATACCTTCCAACAACCTTCAAAAAAAACACACACACAAAAAACCTGCCAACAAAACCTCAAGAAACCTTCCAAAAACCTCCCCCCCCTCAAAAAAAAAAACGTCCACAAACCGTCCAAAAAGAACCATCCAAAACAACACCTTCCAAAAACCTTCCAAGGAACAAATTTCAAAAACCGTCGTCACGAAGAATCCAGCAGGGGTTGGCCCAAAAACCTTCAAAAACCTTCGTCATGGAGGTTTTTTGAATCCTGGATTTCCAACGGTTTCTGGAATCCTGGATTCTTCGTGGCGAAGGTTTTTGGATGGCTTTTTTGGGGGTTCCGGGAATCCTGAATTCTTCGTGACGGATTTTTGTTTGAAGGTTTTTTTGGAAGTTTCCAGGACTCCTGGATTCTTCGCGACGACGGATTTTGGACAGTTGTTTAGAAGGTTTTTTTGTTGGCAGGTTTTTGGACCAGTCTTTTTGGAAGGTTTTTGGAAGATTTCTGTTTGGAAGGTGCTTGCAAGCTTTTTTGTTGTTGGAAGGTTTGCTTGCAGGTTTTTGGGATGCATTGGGCGGTTGTACTACATGTTGGAAGGTTGATTCGAAGGTTCTTGGGAGGTGATATATTGTAGATTTTTTAGGAAGGTTGTTAAGGTGTTTGAAAGTTGTTTTGCAAGGTTTTTGGAAGGTTCGGAAAAACCTTTTTCAAACAAAAAAAACCTTCCGAAAACCCTGGTCGCGAAGAATCCAAGATTCCTGGAGCCTTCCAGAACAACCTTCCCAAAACCCTCAGCACGAGGAGTCCAAGATTCCGGAAACCTTCCAAAACCCCTTTCCAAAAACCTTCGACGCGAAGGTTTCCGGAAGGTTTTTGGGCCAACCCCTCCCGGATTCTTCGCGGCGAAGGTTTCTGGAAGGTTGTTTTTTGGAAGGTGTTTGGAAGGTTTTTGGAGGGTTTTGGGAAGGTTTGTTTGGGAGGTTTTGTTCTTTTTGGTTGGGGGGGAGGTGTTTGGAAGGTTTCTTTTTTTTGTTTGTAAGGTTTTCGGCAGGCTGTTGTTTTATGGCTTTGGAGAATGTATGTTGTTTGTTTGTTTGTAAGGTGGTGTAAACTGTGTTGGTAAGGTTTTTGGAATGTATTAGGCGGTTCCGCTAAATGTTGGAAGGTCTTTGGAAGGTTGTTGGAAGGTTTTTGGGATGGTGCATGGAAGGTTGTTGCGACTTTTTTCTCCTGGAGGTTTTTAAAAGGTGTTTGGAAACAACTATCCAAAAACCTTCCTCGTCCCCCACCCCCCATCCAGGCAAAACCTTCCAAAAACCTTCGCGACGAAAATTTTTGGAAGGTTTTGTTTGCAAGGTTCCGGGGATCCTGGATTCTTCGTGACGAGGGTTTTGGGAAGGTTTTTGTTGGAAAGATTACCCGACAACCTTCCAATATTTTGCGAAACCGCCCACCAGAAGCCGTTCAAAAACCGGCCGGAAAAAGAAACAACTCCCAACAAGCCTGTCGCAAAACCTTCCAAAACCTTCCAAACACCTTCCCTAACGCCTGTTCAACAACTGTCAAAAGAACCTTCCCCAAAAACCTTCCAAAAACCTTCGTCGCGAAGAATCCTGGACGGGTTGGCCCAAAAACCTTCAAAAAACCTTCGTGGCGAAGGTTGTTCGAAGGTTTTTTGTAAGGTTTCTGGAATCCTGGATCGCTCGTGGCGAAAAGTCTCGGAAGGTTTTTTTGGGAGGGTCCGGAAATCCTGGACTTTTCGCGACGAAAGTTTTCGACATGTTTTTTGGAAGGACTACCCGAAAACCTTCCAACACTTAGCGGCACCGCCCACCACATTCCAAAAACCTTTCAAACACCTTACAAAAAAAACCTTCCAACAAGCCGGGCAAAAACCTTCCAAAACATTCCAACAAAACCTTCCAAAAACCTTTCAAAAAAAACCTTCCAACACCTCCCACCAAACTTTTCAAAAAAACCTTCAAACCAACCTCCCAAAAGCCTTCATGCCGACGGTTCTTGGAAGGTTTCTTTCGAAGGTTTCAGGAATCCTGGAGTACTCGCGACGACGTTTTTGGAAGGTTGTTTTGGATGGCTGTTTCCCGAAAGCCTGTTAACAATCTTCCAAAACCCTCCAACAACAAACCTTCCAGCAACCTTCACTTTAAAACGACCTTCCGAAAACCTTCCAACATTTAGCAAAACCGCCCAACACATTCGAAACAACAATCAAAAACGGTCCAACACAACTTTTTACCTAACAGCGAAGACTGATAGGTTTCTAGTGGTCTCAAAAGAGCTCACAGATCACTCCACAGGGGGGTCCGGGCAGGTGTTGGGGCGTTTCCGGGCGGCATGAGCCGGGCTCGTTTTTCACCAACAGTCACACACTTCGTGCTCTTCGCCTTCCCAGAACTCCATTCCCAGGCCACATTCTGGGGGGCCGGATGCAACAGTCACACACAAAGTGCTCTTCGACATCCCAGAACGCCATTCCCGGGCCACATTCTGGGGGGCCGGATGCAACAGTCACACACTTCGTGCTCTTCGAGTTCCCAGAACGCCATTCCCGGGCCACATTTTGGATGCCCGGAGCCAACTGTAGGCCACTTCGTGCTCTTCTATTTCCCAGAACTCCATTCCCGGGCCACATTTTGGATGCCCGGAGCCAACTGTAGGCCACTTCGTGCTCTTCGAGTTCCCAGAACTCCATTCCCGGGCCACATTTTGAATGCCCGGAGCCAACTGTAGGCCACTTCGTGCTCTTCGAGTTCCCAGAACTCCATTCCCGGGCCACATTTTGAATGCCCGGAGCCAACTGTAGGCCACTTCGTGCTCTTCGAGTTCCCAGAACTCCATTCCCGGGCCACATTTTGAATGCCCGTAGCCAACTGTAGGCAACTTCGTGCTCTTCGACTTCCCAGAACTCCCATTCCTGGGCCACATTTTCAGCAGGGGCAAGAGCACGACGAGGAGGAGGACGAGCAAGACCAGGAGGACGAGGACGAGCAGGAGCAGGACGAGGAGCAGGAGGAGCAGGAGAAGAAGGACGAGCAGGAGGAGGAGGAGGACGAGCAGGAGGAGGAGGACGACCAGGAGGAGGAGGACGACCAGGAAGAGGAGGAGGAGGAGGAGGAGGAGGGGGAGGGGGGGAGTACCAGGAGGAGGAGGAGGAGGAGGAGGAGGAGGAGGAGGAGGAGGAGGAGGAGGAGAGGAGGAGGAGGAGAGGAGGAGAGGAGGAGGAGGACGAGGAGGAGGAGGAGGGGGGAGAGTACCAGGAGGAGGAGAACGAGGACCACC